ATAGGATAGGTTTTTTTCAAAACTCGATATTTTTACAGTTCGTGTTTCTTTAAATTACATGAACTGTCAAAATGCAATGCAACTTCACAATCACCACGTATCTAAAAACTGAAGCGAGCTACAAATATTTTGTTTACAGCTTCTTTTGCTTCGCAAAAAAATAACAAGTAATTTGCAAACTGCAACTCTGTGTCTTTATTAATAGGAAGCTCTTAAAACCCTATAAAATTAGAGACACCTTGTATTATATTACAATAATTTGTACTAATATATTACTATACTAGTAATATAGTATAGTAATATATGTTTAGTATACTAATTACTAAAATACTAATCATAATTATTATTATAATAAATTGTAGGAACTGCTCAACAACTAGATGTCGAAGAAACTGATGATGAGTACCAATACTCATCCCAAAGGAAAAAACCCTACTAATTCGCCTTCACAAGGGCTCAATTAAGGAAATCACATACATTTTTAATCCGTCGACTCATCTACCTTCTACGAGCTCTCGTACGAGCCTATGTTTCACACCAAAAGTGCAAACCGAGGTAAAAACCTATAAATCTCCTAGATTCGAGCCTAGATTTCCCTCAACTACCTACAGCAATAATACAGACGATTTGCAAAATAATACTGATAAGCTTTTTAAAATTAAAAAAACAAGTTTATAGTTTATATACAATACGTTTTATTTTAAGTTTTAATTGGTTTTTGATATGTGGTTTCCTTTTTACGATAGCATTTCTTATGGAATTGTATTGGAATGGTTTCAACATTTCCTGTAGATTCCATGCACTGTTTATATCTAGGCGTTATGAAAATACCTCTCCTTACATGGACGGGTGGAGACTTGCCTGTCCGCCTATGTGGTCGTGAAGTTTTAAATATATCGGAAATCTTATTTTTACAAAGACTTTGTTGTCTCAGAATTTAATCAAAAAACCCCGTCCTCTTTCAGACCTTACTCGCTTCAAAGCCACCGAATTTAGAACATTTTTAGTGTACGTAGATATTATTGTTTTAAAAGATATTAATGAGGCTATTTATGAGCATTTTCTTTTATTACATGTTATTTATTCATGAGAAGGTTTGAAGTGGAGGCTAGGAATCAGTTTGAGTATTTTCCAAGAGTATGGTTTAGGTGTGGATGATATTTTTGCTGTTTTTGACACACATTCAGACATCATAGATAATTTTATTTCTAAGTTAAATAATCGTTTTCCTTCCATTAAATTTAAGCATGAAATTGAGAACAACGACAGATTACCATTTCTAGATGTATTAGTTATTAGAAATACTAATAATTGCCTGGAATCTATAGGAAGTATTCCTAATGAATCACATCATAGTATTGAACATAAATGGCTAGTTTAAATGTCTTAGTTCATAGATTACTTAGTTTTCCACTTTCCAACGAAAGATATGAAATAGAAAGAGATTTCATTAGGAATGTAGCTGAGTGTAATGGATATTCTCCTTCACTAGTTGATAAATTAATTAGAAAACATAGGTATAGGTTAATGATTTCTGCAAAATTCGACTTTTCAAGTGGGAGAAAGATACGTCTAAATATTTTTTCGATACCGTTTGATAGAGATCACGTGGTCGCGAAAGGGAATTTTTAAGAATGTCAATTATAAACTTAGTGCTAATAATAAATTACAACAATTATTAGGTAACCAAAGGATAAAACACCTCCACTGGCTAAGGTCGGGTATTTATGAAATTTCTTGTAAAGATTGTGATCAGAAATATGTTAAGGCAAACTAGAAGATCAATATTAACTAGATTTAAAGAACATTTAGCTCAGATAAGATATGGTAGACCAGATAAATCTTGCGTTGCCGAACATATTGTTGATAAGGACCATTGTATAGATCTTAATAATTTAAAATTAATTAAACAAGTCTCAAATTACAGGCAATTAGATGCATATGAAAGCACAAGACGCTTTAATAAATGTAAAGATAGTATGAACAGAGACAACTTTGTTCCTACTACTCTAGAGGCGGAAATCTAACTGTTACGCTCAGTGGGCTCAGGACTCGGTTGGCTAGATTTTGCCACACCCACTCGGTACCCACTGGGCGAGTATATAAACGCCTCAACTTGTAGATTGTACTTGAGTTTATAATCATCTGCTGATAATGCTAACATGGTTAGCGAAACTCGCGTCCAGTGTAAAAGTAAAAGTGTTTTGGGTGTATTGTGGTAATTTAGTGTTTTTATTTTGCTGTGTAACACCAAAGGTTCCAACCCTCAACTGTAATCACGGGTTGCAAAGCAAAAGAATAGAGAAACGTAACATTTAGTTACTCTACAGCCACGGCCCTTTTATCTTTAATCAATAATGGCCCACAATAATCAACCCCTGTTATATAAAATGGTGGAGCAGGATGTATTCGACTCTTTGGGCCATATCATGAGCAGCCTATTTGGGCCATATCATGAGACATAGCAAGTATGAATTCCTTCAGCTCATCATCGAGGGTAAAATTGAGGAAAAGCGCGGACCCGGACGACGGCAATGCTCCTGGCTGAAGAACATCAGAGATTGGACAGGCCTGGACTCACATACTTTGCTGAGAAGAGCGAACAATAGAGAGGAATTTGCCATGGTTGTTGCCGATCTTCACTGAATGGAGAAGGCACTTTAAGAAGAAGAAGGAGTTAATACTTGCGGTTTTGCCCGAAAACATCTAACGCAGTCATGGACGGTTTTTCTGGCTAAGCTACGACCTGATAAGGGCCAAAATTTTTCACGAAGAGAGTATAAAATTTGCTGCGGTCCCGCGTGAAGTAACTTTACATGTTCTTGCTTGAAAAGAAGTTTTGTAAATATATGTTTTGCTGACAGCAAAATGGGGTGTTTTTTATTGTAATGTAAAACCGAGTGTTTTAGTCTGCCACCGACCCTTATTATGCCATCATCGTCTAAGAACGGCGAAAGCTTTGTGATTGTACCTTTGAGTTTATTCGGAGCCTTAGTTAAAATATTTATTTCATCTTGAAACGATTCACGTTGTGAGATCTTTACTAATATAAACAAAGCACTAGTGATTTCCTTGCAGAGCAATGGACCATATTGTTTATTAGCCCCTTTTTTAAAACAATTTTCTTTAAATCTTAAGCAATAGGCAATAACGCGATTTAATCTAGATATACGGAATATTTCTCAAAAGCGAAAATGACGAATTTGATATCTCCGCATGTAAATGCACGGTGTTTTTAAATTCGGGAAGCTCGCTTTGCAAGTCTGGCAAAAAGTGGCCAAGTAGATTCATCACGTTTTAAGAAAGTGGGACCGTTCCAATAGAGATCAAGTACCGCTAAATCTTTTGGCATAACTCCGCGAGATACTGGGTCAGCAGGATTTTCAGAAGTCGGTACGTGTCGCCAATTCCGCGCTTCTGTGAATTCTTGAATTCTTGCAACGCGATGTTTGCCAACCTAAAACTGCTGTGGAGTCTGACCAATAAACTACACGCTCTATGCAAGAATTCAATGAAGTTTTGACTTTCTCAACAAGTTGCACCAACAAAAGTGCAGCCATCAGTTCCAAACGAGGCACTGTTTGTGTTTTAAGGGGGGCAACCTTTGACTTCGCGCAAATCAACTCGATTTCGAAGACTCCATCACTATTTTTACCTCTTGCATAAACACATGCCCCCATGGCACGCATTGATGCATCTGCGAAACCGTGAATCTCAATAGCATTTGAATCTGAACACGTGACCTGTCGCTTGATTATTAAACTATTTAATGATCTTAACTCGTTATAAAATTGTAGCCATTTGCTGTGCAAATAATTTGGAAGACTTTCGTCCCACGACAACTTTTCGGACCACAATTCCTGCAGGATTAGCTTTGCTATTATAATTGAAGGGCTCAAGAGACCCAAAGGGTCGAAAATCTGTGAAGTTTCTGACAAAATTGAACGTTTAGTGACATTTTTACTTGCAGAATCATTGATACTGTAAGCTAAGCTGTCGGTTTGAGCATTCCAAATTAAACAAAACGTTTCTGAATTTTCACGCGCGCCGAATTCAATAATATCCGATTTTTCATTGGATTGAATGTGCGCCAAAATTTCCGGAGAATTAGAAATTCATTTTCTTAACCTGAAACAACCCTTTTTCAAATATCGTGTTACCTCATTGGCTATAAAAATAGCATCCTCTATGGAATCACCTCCGCTAAGAAAATCATCAACATAAAAATTATTTCTAATAACATCAGAAATTACTGGAGATTCTTCACTACAATCCAAACCAATTTGGTGTAGGCATCTTATGGCCAAAAAAGCAGCTGCTGACATTCCGTATGTGATAGTTGCTAATTCAAAAATTTCAATTGGACTATCAGGTTTTCGCGCCATAAAATACGCTGCAGACTTCGCTGATTAGGATTTACTAAGCACATGCGGTACATTTTCTCCACGTCTGCCACTATAACAAAGTTATATTTTCTGAATCGAATAAGAGCAGAGAATAAATCGGGCTGAATAGTTGCTCCTACTCTCTGTATATCATTCAAAGAATAGCCAGAACTAGTGACGCATGAAGCGTCAAAGACTACGCGTAGCTTGGTGGTAAGGCTACTCGCCTTATTGCCGTACCTATAGTCGGTACTTGAGTCGATCTCAGGCTTGAGCATGGCCTTAGATGAAAAATGCGTACTATAGACGAGACTTGGTCAAGAAAGCGACAAACTGCGCATGTGTAATTTGAGACGTACTCAAGAACGGCAAGCATCTTGCTTAAGTATTGCCACAGAGCAATATTTGGGACAAAACCACAGCTTAACAATTTATTTTCTTTGTTGATTTGTTTAGCTGTGTGTTTGTGCTGCGACGCGACGCGTCATTCTTACGCCAACTGCCAAACCGATCAGTTTGTTTGTGGTTTGTTTCCAGAGTTGTTTCTCAAATTTAGTTGTCTGTTGTCTTTAGTTGTTTTTTTATTTTACCTTTATTTCTATTCTGTGTGTTATAATGAGTTTAGGTAAGTTCAAGATTTTAGAAAAGAATATTTTATTATAGCATTATAATTTTGTAGCGAGTGAAAGGACGCCATACACCAACCATTAAAAGTTGTTGGCGAATCTAGTGGACAAGTACAAACTTGTGCTGGAAAACAAAAAAACTGATGCCAGCAACCTCCATCAGAAGCAGCGCGCGTGGGACAAAATTACTGCGGAGTACAACGCTCAGGCCACAATGATTACCGTCAGACGCACTGCTACACAGCTAAAAAAGCTGTGGAATAATTTAAAACAAAGGTACCTTTTTTGAAAATTGATTAAAGTTTATATTTATTACTATATGGTTCTCTTTGTATACTTTATTATGTTATAACCTTTTCAAAAACTTTAATTTTTGTAAAAAATGTTATAGTCATAATAAATGCAAATATATTTATATTTTTTAGGAAAAGGAAGGCTAATACGGAGGATAATAAATACCAGCGCCTCGTTACTGGTGGAGGTCCAGAGCCTTCCTTCCAGGACCCTGTGATGGAAGCAGTTAGCGTGGCAGCACCACATGCAGATGTGATGATGTCCTGTAAATGGGATATGACAGGCGTCTACGAGAGACAGCAGGCAGAGGAGACATCACATGCTACAATGCAAAGTACGTTTGTTATATTTTCTTTGAAACCGATAATTTTTTATAGAAATTTTCTTTTATTAACTTATTAATTGTAATACATTTGTCTAATTATTATATTTATTTTTAGACTATGAAGTCATTGAAGTAGTTGTGGAAAAAGGGGAGGAACCAAAACCGGAACCAGAGGATATTTATCCCTTCACTTCTGGTAATTCTAAAGTAAGTTATGCTTAGCTTGATTTTAATTTGATTTGTTTTTTTAGGGTTGAGCATTAAAAAAATGGTCGCTGCTACTCCAAAAACCACCTTCACAGCTGACCATCCTTTATGTGCTGCCAAACAAACGGCTAGTGGAACTGGTAAATAAATAATATACAATATTCTCGTATGGTATTGATTTTAATAATTGTGTTACAGGGCGACAAGGTCGGGCTGTCCAAAAAGAGGCACACATAAGGATGAAGAAGGTGGAGGAGAGCACTCAACAACAACTCCAACTACATAGTGTTCGACAAAAAATTGAGGAGGAAAACATGCAGACAGCTGTTCTAAGGAGAAAAGTAGAGGAAGAAAACCTGCGGACAGCCACAGCATTGCGAAAAAAGGCTGAGATAGAGGCTGAGCTAGCTATGCTTCATATGGAGTTGTTTAAAAATAAAAACATCTAAATAGATTACCATAAAACTTTATTGTTTTATTTTAATTAACAAGTAATATTATAGTACTAATAATATTAAAACTGGAATGACAGTTCCGGAATAGAACATGTCAGGAAAATCCTAGCAGGGCCATCAAAACATAGAACAGGAGAACTCCTAAAGGCCGGTAGGAATGGAGCGTGTACATTCACTGCAGTGTACACGGGTCACTGCCGGCTGAGATCTCACCTGCAGAGGACGGGACTGGTGGAAGACGCCGAATGCCGACTCTGTATGGAAGATGAAATAATGAAGCACGTTATGTGTACCTGCCCCGCTGGGCAGGACCAGGTTTGAGGTTTTTGGCAAACCCATGCTAGACCTATCAGACATATCACTAGGAGACATATCACCCTCGGACATAACGGCCTATGTTAAAGGCTGGGTCTTGAGGGTGGTACTTTAACGCTCTTTGTATATTAGAGCTTGTAGAAACTGAGCCACAATAGGCCCTCGCGACCGCAGTGGAGGGTCCCATAGGACCCACTCTTAGTCAATACAAATACAAATACAAGACATTTTCCAAGTGTGAAAAGTTTTCGGTTACCTTGGTTTATTCTGCTTAACGAAGTTACTATTTTTTATATATTTAATTAACTTTTTCAATTTTTCCGCCGATTACGAATTTTATTTAGTTAATTTATCTTTCTACTCTTCCATACATTAGAAAATTTTGATTCTTTTTCGAGAAGATAGTACTTTTTATATAAAATTTTATTTGTTGAATTAACATACGAACCGAACTCATTAATTAGCTTAAAACGCGCTAATTAATAATTGAACGCATTCCATGCGCTCGATGCAGCCCGCTTGGTACCGCTAGTACTAGATTGGCGTATCGAGACGCGCACCCGGCTCGGCGCACGCCGCCACCACGACGGTTTTCAACTGGAGGGAAGGACTGGGGAAAATAAGAAGCGACGCGCTAGCCAGAGGAAGGTAGTTCCTACACCACCACCACCGACAGTACTAGCACCAGCTCCAGCACCAGCAGTCACAGTCGCCGCAGTCCGCCACGCAGAAGCCAGCACCGAGAACCAGCCGCCGCCTAGCAGTGGGAAAGCCTGCCGTCCTCCGTTTTTATTGAATTCACCGTCGCTCCGAAACCGCCCGCAAGGTAACCTTCAGGATTAGTTTGGTATAGTATTGAGTATCGAGAATTCATTGTTTATTTGGTTTTTAATATTTTTTTTTATTTTTTTTCAGAAAGGAATCCTGTACCGTGGCAAGGTCTAAATAGTTAAGAATAAAATTCCAAAAGTAAAAAAAAAATATTTTAAATATCAATAGCAAATCTGTAAAATCCAATACGCTTGAGTTATCAATAGGGACTTGGAAAAGCAAGTAAACTGTGAGTGCGAAAAATCCCGGCAGTTTGCTTCAAACTCTAAATTCCTTATTGGTAATTTAGTTAAAAATCATTAAGTCAGGTCATAGATTTTTTTTTAAATCACTTAAAACATATTTGGGTTGTTAATGAGGACTAGGTAAAATAAGTAAGTTGTGAGTGCGAAAAATCCCGGCAAGTTGCTTCGAATTCCAGGTTCTTCATTGACTACTCAGATAAACTGTCTTTAGTTTTTTTTCTTTCCGAAAACCACCCGCAGTAAATCATTCTATCAGTTCTATTAATAAATAAGCGGCATATCTCTAGTGAAGATTAGGAGCGTGGGAAATTTGTGAGTGCGATAAATCCCGACAGGTTTCTTATACACCGATCCCTTCACTATAGATATTCTCGCTGAACTCTTATAGTTTTCCGCATTTCCTTTCCTTCGTAATTTAATTTTTTTTTATTTCTTTCCGTTGCCTTATTTAGACCTTAGCCCCGCCGTACTTTTAATTTTAAATAAATAATTTTTTTTTAGTATTTTCTTATTCTCACCGACATACTTTTAAAAATAAATAGAATAATTATTAGAACAATTTCTTGTTAACTCCGAAACATTTTTAATTCAATTAAATAGGAATTACAACATTTTCTTATTGACACACCCGTATACGTTTAATATTTTGACTAAAACATTGAATAGAATACTTTCAATTCTTTACACTATCACTCTCAAGTAAATTTTGTCTTCCTTTTTCTTTTTGAATTTATTAGCAAGTGCTAACATTAATTATTTTTTTTTATTTAACAATAAATTATTTTTTTTTATTATTAACTTGGGAGTGCCGTCCTTCCCCTAACAGTCTCTAGTTTTTATTAATATTCTTTTCTGTGTAGATTTGCTCCAACCCGGTGACGAGACTCTCCGCATCGGAGCCAATTTAAGCGCTAGGTGTCTCAACTAGCCACCTACACATCGCCTTGCCTTCCGCCCTGATTAAGAAGAAAGACATTTTTCTTTGAATCTAAAATAAACTTTTGACTTGTAAATAGTTTTGGGAAAACACGACCTGCTCTTTATTTTATAACTACAGACTATTGTTTAATTTATTTTTCCCCACCTCTGAGCTAAAAGAACTGCAACACTGCCATACTTCTCCACTGTTTAAAAGCTACCCGAACCGGCACTGGTGGGCCTCTAACCACTTATTAACTAGAGGTGGCGCCCGAGATCTTCTAAAAGCAACAATACAAGAAACTTAAGCGTCAGTAACGCAACTCAGAAAGAGCTTCGTTGCAATTCCTTAAAGAATTCAACGACGTTTTTTTTTGGTATTTTTACCTGTACATTTTTAGCCTTAAATGCGTTTACCAAAGATGAAAGGTTTATTTTGTTTATTATTAGTTTGTTTCTCCAGTTTTAAGGTTTGAAACTGAGAAAGTAATGGTCGTTTTTTCTGCATCGTTTGCCATGTTAAGCTAAGATTCAAAATATTTTTGTAATAACTTTGAAACAGCAAAGTTTTTGACAGCAAAACTTATTTAGCCCCTTTTTAAATCTCTGATTTGTTTATAGACTTGCGGTTCGTTATCTATATAGGATATTGTCAATTTGTTGTATGATAGTTATCCCTTTTTTTGTTTTGCTATCCGTTTTTCACTGGACACTTAACTTATATTACTTGCTACTAATACGAGGTCTTATTGGCGGTTAAGACTATTTACATCAATTTGTAATTTCTAATTATTGGATTTAAGTCTTTATACTTGAATTTGTTTTAATGACTAATTTGCTTAACCGACCTTATCTCGGCGTCATAATGAAATATTAATTATTTGAAGCAAAGATGATAAAACGAATAACCCAAAACCTAACATATCGCTTGCAGTTACCAAATTTATAAATGACATTAAAAGTTATGAATTATTTTCAAAAAATTCACAGATTTTGCAACATGCGCAACCATCATAGGCGTATTGAAAATACCAGACACAAGTCGGCGGTTGTCGGCAATCACCTGTTTTTTTATATTTTATATTAACTTGTGACGTCATTTGGAAGAGCTCAATAGAAATATAAAAGAACTAAACCTTGTTTGGAAAGCACTTTGATATTCGTGACGTCAGCACTCCGGCAGTCTAACGTAAACGTATCGCTAATCGCCATTCACAAATATATTCCAGATACGTATAATGAACAAGTAAACCGTTCGCAACGCAATTTGATTTGGTTGTGATGGCTTTTTTGTAAAAGTGAAGAATTTAGTTAGGAAAATATTAATGATGGAGATGAACGTGTGCGGATTCGTGATTGGTCACGATCACGGCCACGACACTATGATGCAAAAAAGGGGTCAGTTTAGATTAAGTTTAGATTAGGTCTATATTTTTATTAATGCAAAACCAACTAAAACCAAATTCTAATCTAACCTAAACTCACTCCCTCTTTTGCATATTTCGGGTTATTACCTGGGTATTCCTAGGTTTAACCAATATTCGAACTTAAGATGTAATTTATGGATGGCCCATAAAATTTAAATTCACCATACAAAAAAATTACTTTTCACCAATTTTCACAATAAAAATCAAAAGTTATAAATCATAATATTTTTTTATAGAAATGATGGAATAAGGGGTGAACAGGGGTGCCGGTAGACCAAGAAGATACTTGGAATGTAAATGTTAATTTACACTCAGATTGAGTTGCCTCACAGTATAGGCATATTTTGAACCCCTACCGTGCATATTTACTGTAGATAAAAATAAATTAAAATATAGTTGGCTTCAACGATAATTTAGTTTGCAGCTTCTTTTCATCATACCTAATAAAAAACCATTACAACCACTACTCATAGTATGTACCTATGTATTCTTAAACATCATTATGAGATTTAAAGATACATAGGTGCCCATAATATGAGTAGCGGTATTGACGGTTTCATCATCATTTTTTGTTATGATGAAAATAAGCAGCAAAATATATTATCGATTGCAGCAACTATATTTATAGGGAATTAAAATAACTTTGGTTGCACATCATAATACGACCACCAGCAAACTCCATAAGACGACGCAAGGTGTCATTGATGACGTGCACCCAAAGTTGTTTTAATTTCCCTACACTTAGTTTACAAAGTTTACATTCAGTATGTCCAATTAATATAGAACATTATACCTATGCATATTCTTAAAAATTTCCTACCATTATATTTTTTGATAGTTGAGTTTTTTTGAAATTATTTGTTAGCTTCTTAAACAAAACAGACCCATAATAATTCAAATCTTTAACATTCAAAACTTCCAAGAATTATGAAGTAATCTCACGTCAAATTTTTTTTAAATTATTGCATGCCTTAAGTATTTGCAAGTTAACAAAAAATATATCTTTGCATACCTTGCAATAAATATATTTGGTCCAATTTATCAGTTCTATATCATATCCGAAATTCAGATTGTGTATGACACAACAAAGAGAGTTAAGTGCAACGTGAACAACAAGAAAAATGGCAAGTAAAAAAAAATTGTAACGTCTTAATTACTAATTACAGAGTCCTTCCCTTGAGTTCTCCTGCCTAAAATCTATATTGTCTTCCCTAAAATTTTAAATATAAATGATTAAAACTCATACAAGTTTACCACA